CACCTTGGGCCAGTCACTGTCGGTCAACCTAGCCAAACTCACAGTGTTGTGAAGAAAAAAATGGGAGGGACAACCATGTATGCCACCTTGAGCTCCTTGGAAGGAAGATGGCATATACACTGAATATTGTAGATGTACAATAGTTGGGATATTCCTTGTGACTGATCCAAGGAACATTGCCCTCATTATTGTTTGGTCTCAGTCACCCTTAATAACATTATCACATAGCCATATTGGCTGCATTAGATTGTAAGATCATTCTTTTTACACCATGCCTTGTTTGGCTTAGATCAGCCATGTGACCAAGAAAGGATAAAAAACTCAACAAATCAGCAACAGATAGAAGAAACAACAGCTTGATAAAGGGATTGGGTGGGAGATGGTAGGGGAAATGTTGATTCTTTGAGCAGCTATACAGAATGCTGCTTAACCTCAGTGTTTAGGAAATAATCACAAAGCTAGCATGTTGCTTCACTGAATACCTATCTATATATAAATTACCTAATTTCAGAATCATAACATAGTGGAAAACAGAGGCAGGAGCGGCACTCTTTTTGGGGGGCGGGGTATGATGTTAAGCACATCATTTATTTAACTCCATACCTGATTCAGAAGAACGTTTAAATATATTTCAATATCGCCAAATGTCAAGCTCAATTTTTGCCAGTAATGGAAGAGTGGAATAGACATTACCATTTCTAAAATGCCATTTTCTAGACTACCAATTTTCGGTCTCATTTTAAAGCTTTTTATTGCTTTGAGGATGTTCAGAAGTTCTCTGAATAATATTCAAAAATGGTGTTATTTCTGAATGTAAACCAAAAGTGTTTATTTTAGGGATGTTCCCTTTCTAGTAGGAGAAAAAGGACTGTATATTTCTTATATATTCCATTGATAGTTGAGTTTGAGGCATCAAAGAGAGGAAACTATTACAATTCAGACATATGCGTTCTAGGAACACCCAATCCCAGGATCAAAATCTGTGAACTCATAGTGATGGGTGCCACATTCTACCAGTGGAGTGGGGGAACCTTTTCAACCTAAGGGCTTCATCCCGTCCTGGGCAACCTTCTGACAGCTACACGCCATTGGTGGATGGGACCAAAGGTAAAAGTGGGTGGAACAATCAATGTACATTTTACCTTCACATGTTAAGCTACTTTCTACATACATCCACACCCTCATTTACATCCAGGCAAGCAAGGGGCATTATCAGAGTTCAATGATACATTCCTGCCACATGAAAATACTCAAGAAGTTGTGAAGCAAGGCCACTGAGGGCTGTGGCCTGAGGAAAACCAGATAAAGAGACTTGGACAACCTCATTCATTCCTAGGGTTTCCCATGCCTGTTCTATTGTGCAATTTGAAAATGGTGAATTGCAACCTGACAGTGTGTGTAGTCTCAGGCTTCCATTAGTATTTCCACTCATAAGGTCATGACATTGGCCCTGTGTACATTGTATTTTTGTTTCCATGCATTTGCGCAACAAGTTTGCCAAGCCAGGACAGCTCTGTTCATATTGATACCTTCAGGGGAAGGAAAGATGTTCTATCTGGAAACTAGAAGTCGTAGTGCCTTTGTTCATGACATGCTTGTGTTTTCCCAGCACGCAATGTAATTTAGCGAGAGCACCACGCTCAGAGGAAAAAATAGCAATGGTGTGTCGCTACTATGCATTATCGGGATGGGTTATACAGGCAAAATAACTGACTGACCAGATGGCGAGCGTCTAGTCAACTACCTCAGGATTGGCAGACACCCAAAACTCATTGAACCCAGTGCCCTTTCCCCTAATAAACATGTCTGCTCAATCCCAGCTGTGCTAATATAGATATCCCAGTTTAAGAAAAACTCTCTTTATAATTGGATACGACATTTAGATATATTCTTTAGTCTGCATGACTAACGCGTACAGCATGACTTCAGCAATGATCCAAGTAGCTATTAAAGCGGGAAAAAAGCCCACCTGTATTAACCTTTTCAAAAAATTAGTAAAGCATGAATGGGATGGAAGGTGCAATGTGTTTCTGGACAGTAAAGCATTTGGGTGAAAGATCACCACATGAATGCAGTAGCAAATTGCAATGGATTATTATTTATTTAGCATGCCTGAAGAAAATATGAAGGATGGAGAAGCTTTTTGGAAATCTCTCTAGGTTTTGGAATAATTATTCCAAGCAAAGGGGAAAGTTTCTCAACATATGGGGTAGAAGATAGGCAGCAATACTAACAGGCTTTCCTTGGGTTATTCATTTTTGACTAGGGTCAAAAATGAGTCCTCTTCACCTCTTACACTAGGCAACAAAACTGCATATATATGTTTATACGGGTTTGATGGGGAATGAAGGGAGTCGAGTCCAGCAAAATCTAGAGGGCTACAGGTTACCCACCATGATACATGGAAGGAATTTAAGAGAACTAGGTGGTCTATGGAAGCCATAATGGCATTAGCCACAACCATCCCCCCCCTCAACAAATCTCATTTCCATCTATTTCTGTATCTCCTAAGAGTTTTGGACATCCTACCAAAACATCTGGCAATTATGGCTGTGTGAACAAGCCACCATTTTTCAAAGTCCACAGCTGAAAAATACTTTCTTGATGATCAACATGACTTCTTTGATTTCTTTGCTAAGTGCAGTGAACAAGATCAGGTTGCACTGTTGTATTCACTTTAGAAAGTTGCCCCATTAGAAATATGGGTTTAGTTCCTGTTCATTCCTATTTGGTTTGGTTCCAGTCCAGACACAACTGTGAAAATCTAACTGATTTTATATATCCAAATGCACTTTATATAGAATGATTAGTGTGCACAGTTTACAATTGCAGTGTGAAATATGACACTATTATAAATAACACTGGGCAACAATTTTTTACTTTTTGAATGTTGTCTAGATTTCTACAACTGATTTAGGGTATTTTTGCACTGCTGAATCAGGAAATGGCATCCGTTTCTCTCCATCAGGTCAGGTTTACTGTAAACTGAATGGTGGGCATTGATAAAGGTAAGTACACGTAAATTGAATATTGCTTCACCATTTTTCAAACTTCAGGGCTTGAACTTCCGTTTCTTGGAACTCCTGGAATGCTCAGCGGCAGGGAGGTCTCTCTTCAGAGTCCAACAGTAGTCAGCCATCATGACTGCGTCCCAGCGACCCTGATACCTGGTCTCCATCTCTTTCATGTTCTGATGGAATCTCCCCCCCTGCTCGTCACTCATTGAACCCAGGTTCTCAGGAAACCGGTCCATATGTGAAAATAGGTAGTGCATCTTGACGCTCATGTTGCAGCCCAGGTTTCTGAAAGCAGTCAGCATGTTGTTGACAAGTTCTGCGTAGTTTCTGGCCTTATTGTTGCCAAGAATGTTCTTCACTACCAGAACAAATGCCTTTCACGCTTCCAGTTCCACTTCGTTCATTGAGTTTCCGAACTCTGGATCTCTGATAAGCTGACAGATCTGAGGACTGTCAAAGATGCCAGCTTTCAACTTCTCCATGGTCAATCCTGGAAAAGCCTGGCACAAGTAAGTGAAGCAGTCACCATCCTTGTCCAGAGCCTTGGTGAACTGCTTGATTAAGCCGAGCTTGATGTGCAGCGGTGGGAAGAGTATTCTGTCTCTGTCCACCAGAGGGTCGCTGATGACGTTCCTTTCTTTGCAAGGCACCAATTCCTCCTGCACAGGCCAGTTCTTCGTGTAATGCTGAGCACGGTCCCTACTATCCCACATGCACAGAAAACATGGGTACTTGGTGAAGCCAGACTGTTGTCCCAACAAAAAGTTCACCATCTTCAGGGCAACACAAATAAACCACTTATGCTGATCATAACCAATTTTCTCCAGCACATACTTCACCGCTTCATAGTTCTCCTTCAGTGTACTCGAGTGAGCCAGGGGTATAGAGGCAAACTGGTTGCCGTTGTGTAGCAGAACACATTTCAGTGATCGCTTGCTGCTGTCAATGAATAATCTCCAATCTTTGGGTTCGTACTGTGGCACTCCAAGCTTGAGCAGAAGCTGCGCAATATCTGCACAGTACACCAAGTCCTTCTCTTCCAAGAAAAAACAGAGGTACTCTTGATGCCTGTTGCGGAAGAAGCTGATGTGAGCACTGTCAGAGAGGAGGTTTTTTTCCTTCAATCTGGATGCCAACAGTTCGGCAGAGTCATTTGACAAGCTGAGGTCACAAACTAGATCATTCAACTCCTTTTGGGAAAATGGCTGTGGAGCATCATCTTCAAGAACCACTTCTTCTTCTTCATGTCCTTCAACACTGGAGTCATCTTCGTCACTAATGTCAGGAAGTTCTCCGAAGATAGGCACTGGAATTTCATCACAATGAGCTACAGGATGATGTGCTGATTGAAGATCAGGATACTTCGTGGGGAGGCTGCCCCATTAACTTAGTTTTGATCCCCCAACTTTATGCTTTCCCACACCAATTTATGGAAGATTTCGAGGTTTTATGACTTCAAACTGATCCCTTTTCGACATAATCACCCAGAACTATCGGACCTGAATACTTCTTGTCATTAAAATAATCATTTCCAATCAAAACAATTATTCGACATGGCATTTTACCCCACCAACTTCTTCTAAAATGCTCCACACAAGCGTACATGTGAACAAAAACGTAAAAAAAGACATGTGGCCATAGCTCAAAACCTTGACCTGATTGAGCAAAACCAATGTGATTTTTGGATTCAGCGCATCAGATTTATCCTAAATCAACTGAAAAAACGCAGACAACAAATTTGTTGTTGACCAGTGTAATTTGAGAAAAATGTATTTTTAAAGAAGCAATTTCTAAACACAGATGCAACATCCTCAATAACTGTTAGTATATTGTACCAACATCATGTTAAAAAGAAAAGAAGCAACAAAACCCATTGTTAGATTTGCTTTGAAATGTGATGCCTGGATTTTACTCCTCTTTTTATTATTACATACATACATTAATATTAAGAATTGGTTCTTCTTCTTATTTTATTTTTCTTTTGGAATTAATATGATTTAGGTTGCAAACCTAAGATACTTACCTTGAAGCAAGCCTTACTGAACTCAGTTGGAGTTACTTCTGAGTAGACATGCATAGAATTACCTGGCTACTTCCTTTGTATGTATCATTGTAATTATATATAAAAAGAATTCATTGACAGCTGTGCAGGCGGAATGAATTTCAGTCCTACAATATTATTTCTAAATCAGCTAGCATGGCAGGAAAAGAAAACATCATTTTAGTTTCATTTCAGGTATTTCTGATTTCTGGCAAGTGTAAATGGAATTGTATCAGTGTGTGTGCTTTAGCCACATGTATAATACTGATACTGTGGTTTCTTCATCTCAGAAAGGATATCCTCTAGGCCAGCTTGCATCTGGATCATAAGCATGTCTATTCAGAAGCAATTTCAACTTCGTTAACTAAATCTGCACAGCGTTGCAGCACAAAATGATCAAAGACAGGTAGTGCATCTTCACACGAGAGAGGTGTAAAGTGTTTTAGGCTTTTTAGTTTATCATAGCATAGATGCAGAGAATTCTTCCTCATGTTCTCATGTTGATATAGCACAGCCTCTAGAAATTTCAAACTTTTAGCTTAGCTTTATCTGTGTATTCATATGAACTTCATATTTGTGGTACAAAATACCTGCAGCAAACAAAATAATGATCCCTCAATCCCAGGATAATTCCTGCTACTCCTCTCATCTCCTGCAGCAGTTACCTTACAAAAATACTATCTTTTGCCTTCCTCTCTATGGTTACTCGGAAGAGGAAGTGAGGCCCTTACCTTATCACTCACAAAAGAAACTCCTGAACTTTTGCTTTTGAACAAAGCAGGGCTATGCTGTATCAGACCAAAGGTCCACCGGATGCCTATAGGAAGCTTATAACACCACCCTCTCCAGCAGGTGGTAAGATGAGGCATACTGCCACAAATACTGGAGGTAGTACGCATCCATCATGACTGGTGTGTGTGTGTGTGTGTGTGTGTGTATTCTTTTCAAGATAAGCCAGGGAATTTAAATCATGGTTCAGTTACAATTCCTAGGGTAGGGGGATGTCATAAACCCTCTAAGCCAGTTTTGGGCTCAAGTTCGTTTCCACTTCCCGGTTCACGTAATTGTCTTTGTACCTGGTTCTAAGCACTGCTTTTTTTTTACTGTTCATGAAATTATTTTCTTACAATGAGTTTTAGCAAAACATTTAAAAAACAATGTCAGATAATTCAAAACTAAATACAGTACAGTGGTACCTTGGGTTACAAACACCTCGGGTTACAAACACTTCAGGTTACAGACTCCACTAACCCGGAAGTAGTACCTTGGGTTAAGCACTTTGCCCCAGGATGAGAACAGAAATCGCAAGGTGGCAGCGTGGCAGCAGCAAGAGGCCCCATTAGCTAAAATGGTACCTCAGGTTAAGAACGGTTTCAGGTTAAGAATAGACTTCCGGAACGAATTAAGTTTGTAACCAGAGGTACCATTGTACTTAAATGGTTTGATAACAATTAAGGTAATGGGTTCAGGCTAACATATCTGCTCCCATGAGCTGGCAGCTCCACATGAAGCACCACAATGTTTTTATTTTTAGCAATCTATCAATTAGTACAACTGAAATGTGTGTGGTGGGGGGGAATGTTAAATAATCTCACCTGGCTAAATTCTGATCATAGGTGAAATTGTGTGTGTATGTGTGTGCTCACTGAAAATGATGCTGTTCCTGATATGATAATTGAATCCTAAAAATAGATTGTACAAATAAGGAAGCTGCAAAGCAAAACAATATGCAATCTTAGGGAGTCCATAGAATATTTATGAGTTAAATTAACATAGCTGTGTCATATTTTTATATTTAAATATTTATAAGTTATTCATTGCCTTCCAACAAAGACTGCTAAAGGAGAAGTCTAAATGAATATATCTTTGCTTAAACCTTTCCATACTTCTTCCATCAGGATCTGTGTTTTAGAAAAGATGACACTCAACAAACCACTATTATTTCTTCAACCAAATTCAACTATGACAGTTTTGAGTGCTCTCTAAATATGGTTGCATCATTTGAGTGGTGTCCCATAGTTATGCTAGCGTAAGGACTTTTAACTGCACAATGCAACTTCCCTGCCTTCTGTTCACTCTGCAAATACAACTATGGAACCCCTAAATCTGTTCTGGGGTTTTCCCTCCAACCCTCCAGAGCAGTTTTACCTGGCAGGCAGTGCATGTGTGAGTAGATGAAATGGTGGAGAAGTTCCACTGCACAGCTAAGGATTCTTGTGCTAGCATATCTGGTTAGTTGGATAATGCCCTGCATTTCCAAAGAAATAGTCCTTGCATTTGGAAGAGGCGTGTGATACAATCCTTCTGGGGCTGCACCACTTCAGAAAGGAGGTATGACTTTCTCATGACAAAAACCTTCTGCTTGTAGAAACCCAGCACATCAAGTAGATGTCTAGCCTTCTGTGCATGCAGATGGCGTTTGTGGTTTCTCCCACCAGGGTTCTGGAGTGTTACAAGTCTCGGAAGGGCCATACAACTACAGACACACTCTTTCTGAATAGTGCCATGTATACACCACCTAAGAATACAAGATGAAACTGACCAGTCAAGACAAACCAGATCCTTCAGGTTCAGATTTTGCTCTGAAAATTCAGCTGAGCTCTCTGCTGCGGTGGAGGTTTCTCCAGATATAGCCTTTAGGCAAACTGACTTCCCCACAAGAGTTCTCTTTTCATATTCAGCACTCTGCCTCATGGAAAGCACTTCAGCCTGCCCAGGATGGGTATCAGGTAAAAAGGTAAAGGTAAAGGACCCCTGGAATGTTACGTCCAGTCAAAAGGGACTATGGGGTACAGCACTCATCTCTCTTCAGGCTGAGGAAGCTGCCATTTATCCACAGACAGCTTTCCATTTCTGGTGCAATGGAACACTGTGATGGAAGCCAGAGCGCACGGAAATGCCATTTACCTTCCTGCCGTACCAGTACCTATTTATCTATTTGCACTGGTATGCTTTCGAACTGCTAGGTTGGCAGAAGCTGGGACACAGCAACAGGAGCTCACCACCATTGTGTGGTTTCGAACTGCCAACCTTCCAAACAGCAAGCCCGAGTCTCAGTGGTCTAGACCACAGTGCCACCTGCTCATTTTTTACATCATGCTATCCCACTGTTGCTTAACCAGCACTGGCTTCCAGTGGCCTTTTAAATCATTTCCCTCCTATATGTATGTAGTTCCAGAACAGTTGGGATGTATAGTATTTTATCTGATAAAAAGAAATTGCTCGGGGTCTGTGCATAGAGAATACTTAAGTCAGAAAGAATTACTTTCACTTGCTTTCCACAACTGAAGCTTATTGATCTGTTGGACTAAAAAATAAAATGTCCTGTATACTTATTTGAGAGTAACCCTATCAAACACAGCAGGGATTACTTTTGAGTAGACCTGCACTGGAATTCTAAGCTGAGGTAGCCAGGGTGAAAAGCAAGGTGGTATTTGTTCTAGATGAGTTAATCCAGAAAACTACTAGGTCTGGCTCCAACCATCACCAGCTCTGCTTCCAAACACTTCTGGCATGCTGTCCTTGACAAATAAACCCTGAGAGAATTCAGCTCTAGACAGGAAAAAGCTGTTCTATATGGTGTGGTCCAAGAGGACCTAAAGGACTGCTTTCTCTTGCATGAACCTGTCCATCTGTTGAGGTCTTCTAAGGAGACCTTGCTTTTGATGCTACCACCATTAGAGGTGCAGCTGGTTGTGATTCAAGACAAGGCCTTTTCCAAAGTGGCCACGTTATGGAATTCTCTCCCCATGAAAGTTTACCTCGTCCTTGTGCCTCGTTTGGCTGTTAGGAAGCTGCTGCTTTGCCAGGCGTTTGAGCTTAGGTGATTATTGTTGCTTGGGCATCTCTTTTACTGGCCTTTGATTTGCTTTGGTAATGCTAGTTTGTTTCTACTGTTGCATTTTAGTTGTAATTTTATCTGTTAGTCACCATGGACCATTGAGCAAAACTGCAACCTGTACAGTTTTAAATAAACAACACAAGCATTTCCCCCTTGGAACAAGGCTAGCTGCCTCTATGCAAATTACACCCAACAAAGATGGAAAAGGAGGAAGTAGGAAGAAGTAGGAAGAAGTGAAGAAGGAAATATCCAACCTTCTCCCTCGGCAAAGGCATGTCTGGTTGGAGAGATCAGCCAAGTGTGGAAATATTGCAAGCATAACACTTATGCTGAGTTGAGAAATGAATCAGTATCATAATAGTTGTATGTAAATTAATAGAAAATAAGAGGACAATGCTGAAACTATCAGCTAGAAAATTACTTTAGTACTGTAGCATACCATTTACTCAAGCATAAACTTTGTGAAAATCTATAAATCCCCTTGGTAATAAAGAGAGGAATTAAAATTCAGGCAAAATTAAATTCTGGAAGATTAATGCTCCCTTTTATATTTTGATGACAACTATAAGCATAATGTAATTTTGTGGATTTATGGCTTTAAAATGCAAGTTGATACTCTACAATTGTGCCATTTTAAGCACAGAGCAAAAATATATTTTTCACCTGAATGTCCCAACAGGTAAATGTTGCATCAGTAATGGAAAGACATTGAACTTCTTAACTGCCATGTAAAACAGTATGGGAACACATAATTTGTTTACTGTTGCTAGTTCTTGGAAATATGCCATATAGAGAACTAGTGTGGAATTGGATCGGACAAGGCTTTCTAAATAAGGACTGAAAACCTACATTGTTATTCACAGCCATGCTAATAGGATAGAATGAGTAGGTTGTTGCTAGACTCCAACCATACAGGTTGCATTCATTTCTGATGTCCTTTTACACTGCTGTACCTGTTTCATCGTGGAATATTGCCTTTCTAATCAATACACTACCATGTTGCACTCATTTTTAAATGTTGGAAAAGAACTGTATGCCAGGATATCACTCCCAATTTTCTCACAAGAGATTACAATGCAAAACTCTCATGATTTTCTGAGTTAACGGGGTTAGAAATGGATTTTACTGGAAACAATTCATGGCGATGAGTGCTAAACCTCTACTGGATTCTATTAGATTTCCAGAAGTGGCTTTTATTTGTGTGAAAGATCACATAAAATGTGGAAATTAACAGTCAAGGAAACATCAGGAAAATAGAATAGGGTGCTGTCTGAATGCAGCCATAATAAATCCCTAGATCAGACATGCATTTCATTGCTAGAATTTGTTCCAACAGTTTCTTGAGGTAGAGCTGTTTGCAACAATGTGTTTTACCTTTGGTGGCTTCTTATAGCTCAGTCAGTAGAGCCTGAGACTCTTAATCTCAAGGTTGTGGGTTCAAGACCCACATTGGGTAAAAGGAGTTTGGATTAGATGCCCCTTAGGGTCCCTGCCAATGCTATGATTTTATGATTCAGTTCTATGATTCTTCATCCAGACCCCTCTTCCTCAGATTTCCAATTTTGTTTTGATTACCAATTGTGCTGCCACCAGAAGAAATGGCATCATTAATTTGTTCAGGATGCCAATATTGCCATTGTACGTCCCCTCCCTTTAAAGGTGGGAAGTTCACAAGAATCAAGGCTATGTGTGAATGAAGGCATGCTATCCAATACACACATTACACTAGTGGAGGATTACACCATGTATAGTACACATAAATTCTATATTTGTGACCTTGTGAACTGGATCCAAAGGTATAAGAAGGCTGTTTATGCATCTCCAATAACTGTGCTAAGCATGTCTCTTAATACATTCTGTATATTTTGCAAAAACATACGTGGAGCGTGGATGTCTTAATCCCAGCACGTCCCTAATTATGATTAACAAATTAACTATGATTCAAACAGAATCTTAAAGAGAGGTCACTGAAAAGCTCAAGCTACAATGCTCTTCCTAATTACCAAACAAAATGCAAAGAAGCAAAATTGTCCAATTTAAGTATAAAAGTTCTGGACCAAAATACAGACAAACTCTCACAAACAGAAGAGATTTTTTTTTTAATGACACTGTTTAATTAATTAATCTGTGTGCGTCTGACATGGAGGACAATGTGCACAATCTTCTACCTATATAAACACTCCTTCAAATTAATTACAACCAGAGCTTGGAAATGCATGTTACTTATTCACCATCCTAATTGCTATTATTTCTGCCCAGAAAACAACATGAAGACAGATCAAATAAATTTCACACCCACACCACACATTTAAAAGCATTCTTATGCCACCTTAAGGAAGAGTCAAAGCTTTCTCCAATGAATCATGGGAACTGTAGTTTGTTAAGCACCTCCTTTAAACTATTAGCCCTGTTATGTACTAAGTCGAATAGGATCCAAAATGCAGCAGTCTGATTGGTCCCAAAACAATAGGATCCAGAATGCAGCAGTCTGATTGGTCCACAGTAGCCACCCAATCCAGCTCCAGGTGGAAGTGAATCCACAACCTGATTGGCCTACAGGAGAATCCCGGAATTAGCCAATCACGTGGGGCCCATTGTGTAAATAATGTATATAAAGGGGAACTGGGGGAACTTCCATTCCTCCTCACCACTATGAGCTGAATAAAGAGCATGAAATCCACTCTCAACTCCGAGTATATTTCAAGCACCATTAACAAACTACAGTTCCCAGGATTCTTTGAGGGAAGTCATGAGTCTTACAGTGGTGTAAGAGTGCTTTAATTGTATGGTGTGGGTGTCATGTGGAATGTTGGAGGGAATGTAGGATCCATGTACAAGGGAAAAGGAAAGAGGGGGGCCCATCCTTATGCTTGTTAGGCTTAACTGGCCTTTAACTGACTGCACTGCTGCCTAATAAACAGGATTTGGGATAGAGACTTAGGATGGGACTAATGCAAGGTAAGAGGACTAAATTAGCAGGGTACAGGGATGAAAGCAGTTCCGCCGACCTGACTTCTCATGACCTGCATCTGTCAGTCAGGAAAAGCCTCTTGCTTACCCACTGACCCTTCCTTGTTCAGCCCAAAGGATAGGGTGGAGATAGCTAAGAAGGCCCTGACAGGAACTTCACAGCACCTAACACTGTTCCCCAGGCACAAATCTATATATGCTCTGGAATATTGTATCCAAACTTTCATCATCCCGTACTCTCCCCGTCTCCACCCTCAGTAAGTTCTATGTCTTTATTACTGACTGGTTTTTTGTTTGTTTCTTCATTGTGTTTTACTTTAACCCGACTTCTCTAAATTACCCCTCTTCAACCATGTGTGTGTGTGTGTGTGTGTATATACCTTCCAATTTAGCTGACACACCATGCGTCTGATTCAGTGAACTCTAGACCATAAAAAATTATGCCATAATAAATGTGTTACTTGTTGAGGCGCCACAAGTTCCTTTGTTGCTTTTCCTACAGCTTCTGAAAAAGCAGGTACAGCTTTCTCCAACGTCCGCCCCAAAGTCTGGCTACCCAATCAGCAGCCACTTTCCCACCACTGCCCAAATAGTCTATAATGATGTGCTGCTGTTTTGCCTTTGTTCATATGTACAAAGCCTAAATAGTTTGTTCTCTTCCCCCACCCACTCTAGACTATTTGAATGAGTAATATTGTACTTGACTGTTTTTATGTTGGAAAGTGCAATGCTTATAAGTACAGCTAGCTGTGAAATGCACAGCCCAGAAATCTGCTAGCTCTCCTATCCCTCTTTACATCTTTCACTGACAAAATTTCAATGGCACTATAGGGGCCAAAAAGATTATGTACACATGCACGCGCACACACATACTTACTCACTCACAGATCCATAATGCAATATTGCTAATCCACCACAACTGTATACTAGTGACATTGGTTCAGAATGAGTTCTTCCTTTCTTTTTTCAGCTAAGAAAACACTTTCAAATTTTCCTTTGCTACATTCTCAGTACCAACTAACCCAGGATGTGTGAAGTCTTTTGTAAAATGCAGTCCAAATTATCAGTAACAGAAAAAGCAATTTGCGCATAACCAATGGGGGACAACAGACTCACTCACCTTGGCAACACCATGCATAGCACTTCATGACGGGCATTCAGTTTGAGCCTGAATACAAATGCTTCAGAGAACTGTACACTGACAATACCCAAGAACTCTCAAATAAACCACAAACACAGGAGCCACGCATCCCTGTCCACTGCAGCAGGAAAGCAGAGGAGGGGGCCAGGAGGGAATGCTTAAAATTTTCCTCCCCACAACAGCCACCCAAATCTGATGATGCAGATGAGTAGGAGCAAAGAGCCAGCTTACATGGCCTCTTATCCTTCCTGTTGTGATGGGAAAGACAAGGGATGAGGAGAGCCATTGGAACCACCACTTTTAAGATGCTCCAGGCACCTTGAGGCAGCGACTGAGAAGGCAACCGGATTCCCTTGCTCTTTACCTTTTCCAATAGGACGCACCACTGATGCTCTTTGAGTTCTCGGAAAGACCCCCATGAAGATTCCCAAGCATGCCTCAAAAACAGAAGTCACAGAGTGCAACTGTCAATGACCACCTGCACTGGACTCTGCATGGCATGTTTTCCTAATGCTGGCCTCCCCGCTGTCAGCTAGCAGTACATTTCTTTGTTTTTGTTCCCTTCAGCAGCAGCAGATGCAGAGAAATAGGATAGGGGCTTAGTGGCAAACCATACATAAAAGTGTCCCTGTTTTCAGTTGGGTAATGCTAGAAGATAGGAAATTGACCCAGATCATTAGAGGAGTTCTGGGGCTACTTAGGAGACACAGGGAACCCTGTTCATGTATCATTATGTAGTTGCTGGTTTTATTTTTCTTTTATAATGATTACTATTATTCAGCTTAGCAGTCAAATATATAATGCCTCTGTGCACCTACCTGTAATATATTATTTTCGGGGGGGGGGGTGTTTCAATAAATATAATGATAACATCCATTAACCCTGCATTAAACAGTTGTAATGTATATTACGATTTGAATGAAGGGAGGCTGTACTTATGCAGAGTGGGGAAAAGAAATCCCAAAGTATCTGCCAGTTCAGAAAGCCAGCCTTAATTTTTTATATATATACATATATAAACACACAACCAGGAGAAATTAAATGTGTAAAATGATTTATAGGTGGTTGGGAAAAGCTCACAGCTTTTTAGTTTCATACATCTTCATGAAAACCATTATAAATCTCTGTAAACTAAATTGCTTGTCCAACTCCTATGGAAGTCGCATAAACAGAGCAAGCAATTATATGTAATAAACTTTTCTTTCTTTACTGCCATTGCATTCACAGTTCCGCGAAGCACATGCCATTATTTATCTTGTTGAGGAATCACAGCCAGAGAATCTCTACCTGAGCCACACAATTGTGCAGAAATAATTCCCTGGGGTAAGGTGCTTCCATTGTTAAATGGTGAGTACACTATTCAGCAAATGCACTCGCCAAAGCTATGTGTTGTTTCTGATGGATGATATGGCTTTTGTCCACCTCAATAAATGTTTCTTTAACCATTCCATCTGAGTTGTTTCGAAATTCATTCTGTTCCATTTTATCTGGGCAGAGCTTTTGGGGGCCATGCCCAGGATAGAAAACATGGTTTTCTAAACTCAATTAAAGACAGTCTGATGCCTCCACAGGGACCAGGAAAACACATCTAACTCACATTAGCATGAGCAGTGTTAAAAGAGAGCTCTACAATGGTTCAGCTAAGAAGCTTAAGGGATTTGCAGAAGTGCTCAGCACTGGCCTAACTTTGCCTCTGCTAATGTCGATGGTAATGCAAGGAAGGGGAAAATAAAATCAAAATCTACTTTAAACATAGCCATTAATATAGTAGAAGCAGTTATATGGAACCGATCCTGTGAACTCATTCCTGAGGGTTTCTAAAACTGTCTAGAGCTGTAGTGATCATATGGCTCTGGAACACACAACACTGCCTCTTTCGCTTTATGATTGCCCAAACCACAGGGTATCATCATCCAGAACATAAACACCTCAGACCGCATCCATGGCAATTGGCAACAGTGCCAAGTAACTCATTGCATGGGCAGAACAACTTCCGCTTGTGCAATAGGACTTATCCCCTCTCCTGCTGTGCCCTCCCAATCTGTTCTGGGTCCCCCCCCCAAGCCTCACAGATTTGGGGACAGTGCAGAGCATTCACTGGTAGAAGAGTGGGAAGACTTGCACCTCACTTTATTGAGCTTTACAGGTATTGCTTCTTACATGGACATGGGTGCGACTGCAGGCAGCCCAGCTGCCTCGAGGGAAAGGAAGGCCCCACTCTGGCCATTGCCTCTCTTCTGGAGTGGGCTAAGGCAGGAGCCGGGTTTTCCCCCTCCCACCCCTGCAGCCAGAGTGGCCTGGCATAATAAACTACAGTATAGCGTAAACATAACTCTTATACGCACTGGGAAACAAAATAAAAATAAAAATGTGTGACTCGCTTTATTGCAATATTCACTTGATTGCAGTGGTCTGGAACTGAACCTGTAATATCTCTGAGGTATGCCTGTAGTTAGATACCCCATAGAGCTACTGGCCCTAGCTTGGAGTCTAGAGTTTCTTTGAGTATTCTACCTGACACCTCAACACACAATAGGTCCTGAGTATTGCATCCATGTACTCTAATGCTCGGCAACTCCTTGACTCATTTACTAGCCTACTAATCTTGTTTCATTCTCAAGTCCAAGTTCTTCGCCTTTTCCTCATAGCATTGTCTTTGGATTGCGGGGGCGGGGGGGGCGGGTAGAGCTTTAGGCCAGATTGACCCTCATGGTAGCCCCACCTACTGTTAACCATCCCCCTTTTTTTGAATCGCAATGACTGTGCAGGCATAGGATGACATATAACATATCTCGGTCCCCTCCATGTGAATGCCCCTGGCTAACTCTATAAATTCTTTTTCTTCTTTCAACATTCTTCATATTATACCTAAGCAGCAACTCCAGCTGTGACTTTTGGCAGAATTTGATAACATAAGGGTATGCAACACTCCTGCCCTCCAAAATTAAATCGGGCCCCTCCACACTGATGAGGAGGCAGGTGTATTCTGCAGCATGTCATTGACGTAATCATATGTTATTAGTGGTGAGTTTATACTGGGCTATCCACACATCGTTCAGCTTTTTTAGTTGTTCTGAGATGTCTGTGCAACTAAGATAGGGCAAATGCAAAGATGCCTTGACCTGAATCCCAGTGCTGCGTGGTCCATGGGGCTGGTGACTATGAGAAAGAGGACAGTGGACTGGAAGGGCCCTGCTTCAGCAGGGTTCCTCTTAACTTACTAGGAATGGAGGCATTAGACACAAAACTATATGGATTATAATTGTCCTTTAGGCATTTTGTGACATCACAGAATTGTATTATGGGCGTAATGTGGTTCAAAAGCGAAGGAAAACGAACCAAAGATAAACACAGATAAATAATGCTGACCTAGTAAGGTGTGCTTACTTTGATAGGACTGTCTGTCTCCCCTGGAAATACTGGTTTATGCATTTTCCTTTTAATCTTCTTTTAGGAGAGAAAGAGGATTTAGGCTACAAACCTACACATATTTAGGCAGCTTAAGTACCATTAAAGTGAATGGGATTTAAGCAGCCTATGTACAGGATTGCAGCCTTAATGATTTACATAGTTTTTCATGCTAACATCTTCTTTGATTTCAAGTTGAAACCCTGTGCATATGCATTAGGAAGATCTACAATGAAGTAACTTTGAAGTTTTAGACATTATTTGCCTTTCTAATTCTGACCTGCTGTTAACGGAGGCATTATAAGCATTTCTAACTGCTATGGGTATTGAAAGAAAATGATTAGCAACTCTAGAAGGATTAAACTTCCTGCAATTTTATTTTTCAGCCTTCGAAAAGCTAAACAGCACCATTGGTGCTATTTTGGAATCCCTTCATTTGACAGTTTCATAGTCAGCGAATGGCTCCCTTTGAAGGTGTAAATTGCTTAACCAAGGGAAAAGTTGCAAACAATTCTTGTATTATTTCTTATCATGTATCATCTTCAGCAAGCTATGGCAAGAGAATTAAAACTGTATTGAATCACAGAATCATAGAATTGTAGAGTTGGAAGGGACCCTGAAGTGTAAGATGTATTTTCTTATTAGGGGTTATCAATGCTAATTACCCAGGGCATGTTCCAACCAAACAGAAACACTTTGGAGCACCATTGAAACTGAAAGGACTTGAAAGCTGTGGTCTCTTAGCTAGATTGCACCAATATTTTTAACACATATTGACTAGGTTCAGATGCAATGCAAAAACATGGTTTGTTTAGTTTAACTCTGAATTGTCTGTATGTCTAAAGCTGCCCCAGCCAACTAACTTGTTTCTTTTGGGCCATCAAACTGAAAACATGATTTGAAGTTGATCTTGGCTTGAGTTTGCTATTATGTTTGAATTTGGTTTTCTGACTTAATGCTAACTGGTTGCATTCCTCTGCCTTTCCCACCTACCCAGCTAGCTGGGTACAAAGAGTTAAGGAAAGACTGTTTAGAAAACAAGACTGCTCACACAGCCAATAAGCTCTTGCTGGAGCTTTGCTAGATATCTCCATTCCTCAGTCGACCTGGAGACAAACTTCTTTCCACAGTAACCTCCTCATCAAAAGTTCCAACCTGGATGTATAGCAGTTGTTGTTTTTAAAAAAACAAACTTAATAGAGACTATGGGTGCCTTTGCCCATATCTAGTGAAGGAGATCTGTTAAAAGCATGTCTTTGCCCTAAGCAAGGATTAAGAATGGGGGGGTAAAATCATAGAATTGTAGAGTTGGAAGGGCCCTGAGTATAATCTAGCCCAACCCACTGCAATGCAGGAATATGCAGCTGTCCCATACAGGGATCAAACCTGCAATCTTGGCATCACCTGCTGAGCTATCCAGGAATAAATTAGATTCAGTTCACATTTAAAGGCAAACCTGCCTAATTTGGACTTCCTAAAATAATACAAGAACCAAAACACAGCAGCCAGTTTAAATTGCGTGTCAAGGCCCCGCACCCCCTCACTTGATGAATAAAACACGTGGACACAACTATATTAGGTTAATGGGCTGGGAAAAGGCCATAGCTTTTATTGGTTACAGAATGTGAGTGGTATTGGCTTTAGGCATTGGACCTAAACTGACTATATCTGACTCCTGCCCGCCATGCAGGAAGTATCACAAGGGTTAACCACCTGCAAGGGGAGCCCTGTTGACGTACATCAACTCAGATCTCCCCCCCAAGGTCACCAGACAGGTTGTGCCATGGCCCTAGCCTAGCATCCACCTGGGCTTCAGACAGGAACCATGACCCCCAGTTTCCTTTAACAGAATACTCTTAAAGGGGAGGGGTAGGTGATGGCCACAACCTCTCCTCACATAAACCAAGCTTTTCCAATGCCTAACCGCCAAACCTTAGAAAGTTGTGACAATTTGCTATGAGGTAGGCGAAAACCAAGTGGCTGGTGCCAATCTGCCAAGTGGAAAAATTCCTACCAGGCCCCTTCAACAGGCAACCAACCAAAGTCCATAACAAGGTCAGGTGATAGACGCAAGAAGAAAGGACGGGAGGGCGGGAGATCTGTGGAAGCTGGGAGCAGAAGACAGAGCTCCCAGTCATGCAGCCACTTAAATGCAGCTAGCCATGCCCCCCAGCCAGCCGGATTGGCTGACTGCTGTCATGACGCATCCTGGGACTCCCCAGTGATGTGGGGGACTCAGCACACCCCCTGGGGTTGCGGCGCTCATCTCGCTTTACAGGCTGAGATAGCCAGTGTTTGTCCACAGGCAGTTTTTCAAGGTCATGTGGCCAGCATGACTAAGCCACTTCTGGCGAAGTCAGAGCAGTGCACGGAAACACCGTTTACCTTCCCGCCGCAGCGGTACCTATTTATCTTCTTGCACTGCGTGCTTTTGAACTGCTAAGTTGGTAGGAGCCAGGACCAAACAACGGGAGCTCACCCCATTGTAGGGATTCGAACCGCTGACCTTATGATCAGCAAGCCCAAGCAGCACAGTGGTTTAAACCACAGCGCCACCCACTTAGACGTATGCATTTGGCCCCTGGCATCCCCACTCCTGACTTAGCGTTTTTAAACATATGACCGAGTTTCCTATTTAAAAAACACATTAAAATTATCCACAATCCAATCACCCTCGTTTTGTACTTTGGAAAATGTAATAATGAAGATAATTTTGCAACTTCCCTTTTTGAAATAAGAGTAATCAGCCAATGTAAGTAAAAGGAAATTATAATAAGATAACCATGGGCCGGCGGGAGGGCGAATCAAAGGAAACAGAAGGAATTGTAATCACTTTGGGCATTTCCACTGAAGACAAAATTACAGATCTCTTAGACTTGTTCATGAACTTTATGCAAGCAGAGGGGTTCCCCTTGATAAATTTTTACAAGGGGATTGGAGCAAGAAGTCAGAAGAAGGCAAAGCTTGGCATGCATGATGAATTGCTGTTCATTAATCCAATTAATGATTAATTCCAGGGACTCTAATCCAAGATAAATCCCTTTATTATAGCTGGTTGACTAGGTCTATAATAGTTGAAGGTCTGTCAGCAAATCCATTGTAAACTTCTTTTTTCACAAGCTGATATCCATAAAGCTTGCTGTGCATTGCCTTTCCTCTGGAAAGGATGTTGGCCAAGCAGAAGCAGTGGGGGCGGGGGGAGGCCTGTTTGGTCAGCACCAAGCCATAGAACAGTTACAGAAAACGGACAAGTGATTTAAAAGACATGATCGAGTTTCATTTAGCACCTCTTTTTATAGTCTGACCCATATTGAAGGACACATGACTATCTGAAACTCTTTCTTTAAAGAGAGAATTTTATGTGTTACTCTCAAAATACAACCTCAGTAAGTTTTGATTAAAGATTGATAGTCAACTAAAACAGTAACAATTAAGGTTGCCTGAGCTTCAGATATTGTGGAAGCATCCAAACTATTTAAGGTCACATGACCTCCCCCCCCACAACATTCAATTCTGTGCATATGATTTCAGTGTTCCATGCATTTATTTGCAACAGTTCTCACAAAGGGGGCTTGGGAGAGCTCAGTCTCTTTAAAATTCAAGTGGCCTAGAGAGAAATAAGAAGTCAACTTTAAGAGAGGAATGTAACAACAGTCAAGTTATATTGATTTTTTTTTTATTCAAAGAAGACAAAAAATCCCAGTGTAATGTAATGATTAGTGTTAGATTATGACCTGGGTTGAATTGAATAAAAGCTCGTTGTGTGAACTTGGACTAGTCATTGTATCTCAAGCTAATCTACCTCACAGGGTTGTTGTGAGCATAAAACAAGGAGAAGAAAGCCACGTACACCACGTTGAACTCCTTAGAGCTGTACTTTTGTACTGTTTTATTGTTGTTAGCCGCCCTGAGCCCGGCTTCGGCTGGGGAGGGCAGGATATAAATAAAATTTATTATTATTATTATTATTATTATTAGAGTGCTCATGAAGACCCTGTTGCTCAAGCAATGCATAACTGGAATAGGAGTAAAATCAATAGCCAGCTAGGAAAGTTGAGGTCAGTTCAGGGTCTGAGGATACTAAAGTATATATGTGGAGGCTGTAATAATAATAATAATAATAATAATAATAATAATAATAATAATAATTTATTATTTGTACCCCGCCCATCTGGCTGGGTTTCTCCAGCCACTCTGGGCGGCTTCCATAGAAACAAAAAATACAGTAAAATATCACAGATTAAAAGCTTCCCTGAACAGGGCTGCCTTAAGATGCCCTCTAAATGTCAGATAGTTATTTATTGCTTTGACATCTGATGGGAGGGCGTTCCACAGGGCGGGCGCCACTACCGAGAAGGCCCTCTGCCTGGTTCCCTGTAGCTTTGCTTCTCGCAATGAGGGAACCACCAGAAGGCCCTCGGCGCTGGACCTCAGCGTCCGGGCAGAACGATGGGGGTGGAGACGCTCCTTCAGGTATACTGGGCCGAGGCCGTTTAGGGCCTGTAACATGAAGTTCAATGGCTCACCCCCATGCCTGGCAAGCAGGAGCTCACTGAACAGTATCAGAGCCTGAGGAAACCTCATTGGCACTTTCCCCTGAAGAACTGAGTGCCTCCCACTTTGCCTTGCCGGTTGAACAGCACAAGGAGCACACCAGGCAGGAAGCCAAGGAGTGAAGGCAATCTTCAGTCCAGAGGGTTGCTCCTATAAGAGATTCTAGTTCCCTAAGGGGTAGGGGCAGAGCCTAGGATGAGTGGACCAGAGGACAGGCCTCATTCCACTTGTTGTTTGCTAGGGGCTGTCCATGGTGTTGTGACAACTGCCTTTCCCCAAGCGCTCCCCTGCAGGACTGGAACAGGATCATGGGGGCTGCCCTATACAAACTTATCTCCAGACAACAAAATGAAACCCAAAGTCATTTTCATATAATGACAAGTTCCTCATCCCTGATAGTTTTGTCAATCCAATTTATCTTGGATGCACAAATTTCTCCTTGCATTATGTGGTTTGAATTGCTTCAAGTAGGTGGAAAGATAACTCCAGCTGTGAGAGAAGGTTGAAGTAAAATGCACTGCGGCAACCCCAGCTGACTCCAAAGCTTACTTCATCTCCTTTCTCTGTCAGGGGTCCTGTGTTCCGGCATTCACAGT